GCATTCGACGGAGCATCTTCAGAATGTGGAGTTAAACTCAAGTGCTTAATCCCACAAACAGTAACACGCTCCTAAAATTAAGGAATCAAAGCCACCTATGAAGCTTCATCAACAGGGAATCCAAGGAAGAAGATTTCTTAAATGTACCCACACAGTTTGATTGGCAGATGATCCCTGGGTGGTAAAGTGCTTAATTAAAACCCTGTCAATTACCAATTAGCAACTTCTCACTGCCTTTAAAGTGGGATGTGACTTTCAGTTTTTCCATTAAAAACCTACACTTCTAATTATAGCTATATGTTTTTATTTTTTGTGTGTGATAGATACTGAGAGTGAGACTTGTCAGTTGTCTCTGGTGGAGAAACTATGTTATGATGACACTAGTTCTAAATGAATTCAAACCTACAATTTTGTACCTTTATTTTATCCAATATCATCGTTAGACATGGGGTCAGATGTGGAGGGAAATCTGTTAAATACATCTTTACACAACAGGAAGAGGGCGCTGTTCTTCCACAGCAAACAAAGCTGAAGATTACAGAATTGGGTGGACTAAAGCAGTGGTTCCCTACCTGGGGGTCGGGATCCCCACTAAAGGGCTGCAAAGCTTTACTGGAGTGCGAGGGGTCTTCTTCATTTTTAGAGGCATGTAAGAAAGCTTAAATAATGTAAACACGGCCCTAAATCTCAGCATTTGGTTCATTGCTGTGAAGAATTGTAAATTGTTAACTATAATAATAATAATTATTATAATAATTATAATGACAGTAATAAGCACCAGTGACAAAATAACAATGTATTTGTCGAAAAAGAAACATAGAAACATAATGTCACAAATGTACCATGTATGTCACCAATAAAAAACATACATGATTATTAAAAATGATTTTAAAAAAAATACACAATGCAGACAGATAACTGTATAAAAAGGAAATCATCTGCCCAACACTCCTCCAAATCACAAACTTTTTGCAGTTCTTACAGTTACTGAGTTCACTATTTGGGTTCATTGTGCAGTTTTGAATACAATATGAAATATCCATAAAATATGTAATTTAAGCAGGGCTCATCTGTTTACTAAATGATAGAAAAGGGGCGCCCGGTTAGCTCAGTGGCTGGAGCTGGCGACCCGTGTGCCAAAAAAATTAACTTAAAAAAATAAATAAATAAATAAAAAATAATTATAGAAAAGACACCCTTCAAGAAAAAGATTGGTAACCACTGTACTAAAGGATGCCAATCATCTCAATCATGGACTCTTATATTTAATTGAATAATTAAATATATAATAATTAATTGAATTTATTGAATGCATTATTTTAATTCCCATTAAAATAATGCATAGAAATCTTGAATAACTTATTTGGATGTTGAGGTCTTTTCTATAGTTTCCAGGTCATTGTTCAATTGTTCAATTGTTCAATAGTAGCACGTGTTCTTAATATGGAGTACAATGCCTTTGCTTTGCATCAGGGTTTTGTTGTTTTCACACAGCAAGTTTGTGTCCACAACAAACTTCCCCCAGGGAACATGGAAAGAGGTCCTGATCCTGAAACCTGACCCAAACCTAAAAAAATACCCACAGAAATGTAGTCCATCCTCACCAACAACACTGAGTTATGACAAAAACGCTGACCATTAACACTTCCATAATGACACAGTATCACAGTTGAAAAAGGGTTTGGCAGTAATGTTCCTGCCCACACAATCTGAGGGGCCGCTGCTTTTGGGGGAAACAAACAGTGTGGACAATGATAACCAAAGCATGTTTAGCTTATCTACAAAATATGGCCACATAAAGCAGCAGTCACAGAGTAATCAAAGTTCACTTTGATAGAAGGTGATTGCAAGCTTTAACGCTGGTTTAAAAGGAACAGTTGGACATTTTGGAAAATACGCTTATTCACTTTCTCAGTGAGAGTGACTGATGACTGACACCACTCCCATGTGTGTATGGCAAATATAAGTTACCACCAGCAACTATACCATAAAACCACAAACGGTCATTAATCCAGTTCAGGCTGTGTACAGATTAAAACAAAGGAGATATAATGTGTTAATTAATGAGCTGAGGCTTTATGGAGGTAGCTGTTTCTTCCTGTTTTCTGTCTTTGTGCTAAGCTAAGCTTAAATCTTACTGCTCCCCATTTTTTTGTAAACTCCTTTACGTTAAAAGTTGTCATTCCAAACGCCTGCTCGGATGTTTAAGATAAGGAGAAATAAAGTCTCCTTGATTTCTTAAAAGAATATAAATAAGTGTTTAGGTTATTTTTAAAGCGGGACTAACTTTTCAGAGAAGAAATAAGTCATTCTTCCTCCTACAAAGGAAAAGTTATAAGAAATAAAACAAAGCCTGATTCATTTCAATACAATCATAGTAGCTAATGTTAGCCAGCTTTACTAGTACATTATCTGTATATGTTCAACAAATTAAATTATCTGTAGTTGTACTGTGAGTGGGCGTGGCTTAAACTGGAAGTGGGTGGGATTAACCAGACTTAAATTTAAGCCTCAAAATTGATATGGGTTGATCAGAAGTTTATTTATTAAAATAATTATAACGGAACTGCCTCAGTTTTTGAGTTTCAGAGCAATGTTTCTGAGCACAATTACAGAATAATATTTTTTATAGAACATATATTTATGAGTACTTATATTGACACACTGTACTCGTATCAGGTAAATCATCAGTACTGGATGCTCGTTTCCTCCGAGTACTCGCTCAGCCTTAGTAGACAATGCTGTTTAACTGACAATACTAGGTCAGTGCTCTGATTTTTTAAATCTTCTCTACATTATGTTTTAGCATTTAACCTAACATCTTGTTACAATTCAATATTGGTTCATTAGGATGAGTGTACCAAAGCCACAATTACTAGGGGCTAGTATAAACGTGCCTTAAAAGCCTCTGTAATGCTCTTCCACAGCAAACCAGTTTGGGAGGTCAATAAAGAATGATGGGAAATGTTTACTCCGTTTTCAAATACGTCATCTGATTACATGTCTGCCTGCCAGTTGAACTGTTCAGTCTAAATAAAATGTGCAGTGATACACTTTCCAAAGGAAACCAGCACAATGTGACATGTCAAGTTATTTATACAGCTCACCTGGAGTTAAACGTCCTCCCCTGGTGCCAAACCTACTCCTCATTAGTCATTAATCATTAAACTAGCGCTGATAATGGGCAATAAGTTGACTAAGGTGCAATACCTGGGTCAATGTGCCATACACTTGATCATTATGTTATTCTCGTAATTATTCAATCATTGCTTGTAATTATATATAATTAACTTCTGGAGGCCACAATCTTAAACTCATTACTATTTAATTTATGTCAACACATACTGTGGAATATGTTTACATTTACATTTACTTGGTATATAGGCTCTTATTATCTTATTATATCTCTTATTTCTATCTCCATTTTTATTTTTATCCTTGCTTTAACTTATATATATACCTTTACATACATTTCATCATTACATCATATATTCTGTATATTGTGTTAGATACTGTAATGTAAGTATTATTTCTATTCTTTAATATGTGTGAGTAGAACAAAAGTAACAAACAAATTGCCCCCCAGGGATCAATAAAGTATTTCTGATTCTGATCACTTATTATTATTATTATTATTATTATTATTATTATCATCATCATCATCATTATTATTATTATTATTATTATTATTATTATTATTATTATCATTATCATTATTATTATTATTATTATTATTATTATCATTATTATTATTATTATTATTATTATCGCTGTCATTCTGAGGAAACCTGTAGAAGTTGGAGCCCCATCAGGAAAACTAGAGCGCACAGGCCACACACACAGCAGAGTGATTCCTCAGCACTGCAGCCTAATCATATGATGCTGCTGATGTAAGGATAGGGACCGGATGAAGCCAGTCTAAATGCTCAGGGCCTACACGGACTAAACCGGGCGCTCTGAGTCAAAGTAGCTACAAAAACAATTCAAATTTCATCCAAATAATTTCCCCTCCAGGGACTGACCGCGTGGCCGCCCGGGCAGGGATACCCACCCGTCTCTCCAAAGGCTCCTGAACGCACCACAAAACCCCATCCAAACATCCAACAGGGGACACTCACGCATGCTAAGCCTTTCTCAAGATATATTTCTCATTCATGCTCATCCCCCTTGCATACCGCCGCGGCGTCCACAATACGCCGAAAGCTCGGTTAATCCTCCTGATCACCGGCAGCGGCGGCTCGTCTTTCAGCGACAAACAGGCATTAAATGTTACTTTACCTTTTTTTGGGGGGGATGGAGGTGTGCGTGTGTGTGTCCTGTGCAGGCTGCCGGCTCGGTGACCTTGGAGCAGAAAGATGCGTGTGTGTCTGTGTTGTGGACGGCTCTGTGTTTAAATTTCCTGAGTGAGCCGCTGCCTGACGTGGACGTGGACGTGCCGCGGGCTGCAGAGGGCGGCGCTGCCCGCCTCCCTTCTATTTTAGACCAGAGCCGCTCCGAAGGGTTGAGTGAGCCGTGCAGCACTCGGTACATCCAGGGTAGTGAAGTATCTCTGTTTGTGTGTGTGTGTGTGTGTGTGTGTGTGTGTGTGTTTGTTTGTGAGTGTGTCCCAAGCAGGCTATGAAAACGGTGGCAGTTATCTGATAAGTGCTGATAGAGCAGAGACGGGGGGGGTTGGGGGGTTGGGGGACACAGGGGCTGCAGCTGACCAGTGTTTACTTTCTGTTAACAGTTCTACCATATAATGGTGAGAGATAGCCATCACAACTTTCCAGGATCATGAAAAATGAATGATCAAAAATGCTTCCTTTGTTTGTGTAGGCTGTCTTCTTGTATTCTGAATATTAGTGACAACAGTAATTCTATAATTCAGTTGAACTTTAAGCGCTGAAAATACTTGAAGTGTCAGTTTAAAGGTCCAGTGTGTAAAATGGAATATAATATCCACATGTTTTCATTAGTGTTCAATCACCTTAAAACATGAATCATTGTGTTTTTCTTACCGTAGGATGATCCATGAGTGGGAGCAGGTCCTCTTCCATGGAGTCCGCCAAGTTGAACTGCAATGTTTCTACAGTAGCTCCAGATAGGAGAGTTGCCATAGTTTCTACATGTTTGGTTGAGGCGAGCGATTTAAGTTGACAGATACATTTGATCTCGATTAATCAACAATTGTTTCAGGTCTAAAACTCCAAATGTGATTCTCACAAGCAGAAATTAAAAGTATTAATGGTCATATATATTTTTGTATCATTTAATTATTAGAAATACTATTAATATTAATAGTATTATTATTATAATGACAAAAGGCTAAATATTCTGATGTGCTCGCTGCTGAAAGTGTACAGTTTAAACATTTAGCATAGCTGCAATAATAAAAAAAACTGAAATTGAAGTGCTGGAAGAAGCTGAATTTCCAGTTTAACTGACAGCATTGAATCAATCTCAAATTTCAGTTTCAGTGTGAGCACTGAGGGAAGCTGAAGTATCAGTTCCAGTGAAAGTGCTGAAAGGAGTCAAAGATTCTGTTAAACTTTGAAAGGTGAAGTGCCATTTGATGTTTAACCCCTAAAAGCACTTGAATTAATTAGTAGCCCAAGATATTAAAGCAGCTGAGATGTGACTTGAGGAGGAGAAGATGAAAGCAGTTGGTCAAAATAGATTGATTTTCTGTACATCAGCGTATCAGATGTTGTCTTTCTCCTAAATGTTCTGTGCGTGCATAAAGCCGCTGACATCAGAGCGGCAAACTCAATCTGGGTCATTTGAGCTCAATCCGCTGGATTATTGTGGAAGGGTCACAGTGAAGCCTGTGCATATGGTGAAAGTCTCTGGCCAAATGTGAAGAAGATATTTAACTGCCTACAAGAAAAATACAATGAGAGATGAAGTAACCGTGGAAAATACTGTGCACCACAGACATTAGGTAGCAATATAATAGCCTCATCCTCTGGGAATCCATATTTATCTGTTATTTTGAAGTACTGATATAGTCATATAAACCAGGATTAAAGAGATTAAGCATTAAAGAATTTGATTTAAAGCTAACAGTTAGTTGCCAATGAGGCTAGCCTTATTATGTGCTTCATTAGTCTTGAAAATACATTTGTGAGGATTGCATGAATGAATTTCTATCAGGATAATTATACTTATGGAAGAAGAAGTCACCAGAAAGACATTTGAGAAAGCTCTCTCGCTCTTACGGACACCACTGCTTCCAGCATTATCATTTAGACTGTGGTTGAATGTAACTGAGTACTCAAGTAGTGGACTTAAAGGACCAGTGTGTAGGATTTAGCGGCATCTAGTGGTGTAGTTGCAGATTGCGACTCACTCGCTTCCTCCTCCCTGTCCAAGCACAATGGTGGCAGCAAAATGCACGAAAAATGCTAATGCCAGTGTTTGGTTTGTCCGTTCTAGGCTACTGTAGAAACATAATGGGTCAACATGGCTGCTGCCTCAGAAGGCAACCTGCAGCATCTGTAGATAAAAACAGCTAAAAGTTAACAATTCTTATTATTAGGTGATTATACACTAAAGAAAACATACATATGAATATCATTTTCAATTTTATTACACACTGTTACACACTTTAAGTACAGTTTTGACATTTTAAATAAATATTTCCATTTGGCTCTGCATTGGTGAATTTCAACACTAAAATGCTCTTACATGTATATGTTAGTGATAAAAACGGAATAATATACTGTATAATAATCACACTATGAAATGAGTCATTCTGCATGAGCTCTTTTTGATACTTTAAGTAGGCTACATTTTACTGATAATACTTTGACTTGTAATGGAGTATTTTTTATCAGTGCATGAACTGAACTGCAAAGGTGCCAGTACCCTAATCCAACACAGCCCAAACCATAACATGATCCAAACCCTAATTCTTCTGGAGTTTTTAAAATCCATTTTAACATCTTCAGCAGAGATGCAGTTACACAGGTGTGTTTTTCCCCACCTATATTCCACAAAGACCCTACTCTCTAACGTTACATGGGTGTTTTCGGGGTAGACAAAACTCAGAAGTGTGAGTACCAGCCCTGTTCAGCGACTGATTTTTAGACCGGGATATTTCTACTAGTACTTGAGGATCTAAGTACATCCTCTGCAGTGAGTCTTTGCTCCTATGTCGAGTCTGGTTGTGGGAGTGACTCAATCATGTGAAAGATAACAATGTTAATTTTTTTTTCAGAAGGATTTGCAAGATAATCAGCTAGACAATCGCTGAGTCATTTCTTTAATTCCCTGGGTGAGTCATTTTCAATCTTATGCTGTGGTCTACAGTATGAGTAAACCTAGATCAAGAGCAGACTGACAGCAGAATAAAACTTACACAAGCATTTTGCTTTTTACTTTGCCAAATTTTTCTAGTTAGTTTGTCTGGGTTTAGTAGCTTACAAACTAAATAAATGATTCTCCTTCCTGTAACTGTGGCATGGGCTTCTCTGCCCTTTTCCTCTATGGTGTTTCTTGCCAGAAGGACACAATGAATAAAAATAGCTGCATTGGAGCATCAATCCAAACACCATTTTCTTTGTTTGGCTGCTTGCCTCTTTGTGTTTGAACTACATCTATCTTTTTTTACCCGTAATAGCCTGTCTTGTATTTTGCGGTGCTGCTTTGGTGAATTACGTCATTTTCAAGTGGAGAAATGAAGCAAACTAAAGGAGGAAACTGCAGTTTTCTGAGCTTGGAAGCTGTGGGCTGTTAGAGTGAAAGACCATCATTAAACTTTTATTCCTAAATTGCTTCAGTAGCAGAGTTGCTGAATATAACTCAGGGGTGATGCTCTCTCTTCTTACTTCCTGTGCGGGGTATTTGCCATTACATTTTGATGTCCCTAAAATGTGAATTCACAGTAACAGGGAATCATAGCATGTGGCCAAATGACACACAGGTTATTACCTCTTCCAGGATACATATCCCGGGCCAATTTAAAGGTATAGTTTTAAAAAAACTTCACGTTTGTCAGCAATGGAGTACAAAATGATCCTAAGAATCTTACAGTTTGAAGATACATCAACAAAGAGTGGGTGAAACCAAAGTCATTTTATTAGATATCGCATAAACAAGAGTTCATGTGTTACCGTCTGATTATGGAGGCTCCATAAAGGCTGGAAATCCTGAGTTTGAATTTATTTTTTCACATTTTTTCACATTTTCTTAAAGGACCAGTGTGGCATCTAGTGGTGTAGTTGTAAATTGCAACCAACTGAAACCCTTCGTCTCAACCGTGGACTTGAAACTTGCGTAAAACAGGAACGGCCCTATCTAGAGCCAGCGTTTGGTTTTTCTGGTTCTTGGCTACTGGAGAAATGTGGCTGTTCAACAATGGCAGACTCTATAAACAATAACAGCACATTCTAATGTAACGGTTCTTGTTTTCAGGTGAGTATACACTAGTGAAAACATACCTATGAATATTAAATTCAATTTCCGCCAGTAGATCCTCCTGGACGTTACACACTGGATCTTAAATTCACTGAATTGTTTTGCTGTTTTTGTGAAATATATGTAACGCATTTACCCACATGGTGCCCCACTCTGCCCTAAAACAGCTGTCTACACGTTTTGATAATCTGGTTTCAGTCCAGAGTTTGAGTGCCCCGTGCTGGTCCAAGTGTTGCTTCAGAGACTTTGCCATACTGAGAAGTATAAAATTTCTTCGAGAACTGCGTTTTAGCTAAACATAAGTGATTTAGCAGTTCTTTGAACCAGTGCACCTGCAGTTGCATAATTACATTATGTTTTTACTCCTGCATATCACTATAAATGTCTCAGTTGCTGACTGTTGGGTTAAAAAGAAAGATACTTGCCCTTGCATGGGTATGTCCACACTGACTAGTGTCCTTAATGTTAATGACGATGCGTTCTACAAATACTTAATTCAGTTAATTTAAGTGAGTTAAATAATTAAAATAAATGTAATTTAAAGCTGTATGAGATTCACTATATAGTCACTAAGATTCCACTATTCAGTTGGTAAAATAGAGTTAAATTTTCTTTTGTTTGGTTTATTTGACAAATCCAAGAAGTGGGACTCAGTTGCACACATGTGGAAAATGATGGTGTCTGTGAACTTCCAAGTAGCTAGTGAAAGACTTTCAAGTCAACATTATTACTTATTTAAAGTTTTAGGTTAAGTTACACCACGTCACATGACTTACGTTACAAACTTAAGGTCCGGTACCCCTGTAGCTGTAGTATAGGGTCTCCATGTGTTTGTACATGTGGTAAAAATTTTTATAATCGGGCACTGTATAATGGCAGCTTATATAAGTGTGTTTATAGACCGAGGGTAACAGGGTATTAAATGGCATTTCATTTCTTTAGATTTACACTGTGTCTCTTCACCGGATCTTTTATAGTTTTTGAAAACAGATTTATCATTTTCCACACCAGACCCCTGTCTAATGACTTTTTTCAATGAAGCTTTCCAGTATCAAATGAAGTCACTAGGGCTGTATAACACTTCCTTCACTTGGTACTTTCATCTCAACAAAAACATGTAGTGTAGTCTTTGAGAATTCACATGACAAACAATAAGCTTTCAGGTCGTGGATAAAAACACAAACATTAGATCTCAGATTATGGAAGCACGGCGCTCCCAGTATCCAAACAGAAACTTCAGACACGCTTGCACTGTTGAGGTAGAGGTGTGGCTCACAGGGGAAGCCAAGAGAAATATGTTTTTTCTCCCACAACAGAGTATAGTTGAGACCGGTGGGAGGGAGCATGTATGCAATGAACATGATCCATGAGAGAAAATCAAAAATATTGGAATGTAAACATTGCTATTGTTTTATTTTTCACACAATTCTTCCCAGCGTATGAGACCATCGACAATATGAAAACAAAAGTAAACATTAATATATTTTATCACTGGATGAAAATGCAAACAAATAAGAACAAAAATTGAATTTCCCAAAGGGAATATTCTTCTTTTCTTCTTTATTTTGATGGACCACCTCTCCTTAAAGCTCAGTATTTCTCTGATTTTGAATATGTAAATAATACATTAGCAGCTTGCTGGTTGCACTTTCCCACAGCTCAGTCCAATTTACAA